TTATGCCATTAACTGAGATGGAATGGATCAGCAATTTGCATCGTTGATCATTCCCTTAAAACCAGACTAATCACTTTTATGCATACGTACTGAAAATAACTTCCAGAATTACTTTCAGGCAAGTGAATATAGGAGTGCATATTATTCATGTAGATTACATGTACCTATTTGTCCTATGGTCCCACAGCTTTCATGAAATGCAGATGATTCTCCCACAACCAATGTCAGGGGTGGGATTCTACCGGTTCGGACCGGTTCGGGTGAACTGGAAGCGCCGCCGATCAGCTGGGAGCAAACCAGTTTGCTCTGATCAGCTGGGCCCGTCCGCTCGCCCCTGCACTTAACTTACCTTTATCTTCACAGCAGATTAGTGTGGTAGAGCGGATTGCTGTGTCTCAGCTGTTTTAATTCCCTAGCACTAACACAGAAGGTGATTTTTCGTTGAACTGTGCTGCGCGATCACCGAACCGGTTGTTAAACAGGAAGGATCCCACCACTAACCAATGTAATTGGTGGAACTTTGTAGATTTAGCAACAATTTCAACAAACATGGAAAGGACCTCCCCAAGACCTTTGCTTTATGTTCTTGAACTTGGTTTGCAAACCTGTAATCTCTGATTTTAAGGAAGTTCTTTAAATTCCTTCCAGATTTGTGCTGCCATATTGTTATTTCTTATTTTAAACTTCTGTTCTGTTTTTTTTTTTTTAAGTGCCAGTCAATTTTGCTTTTAAGAAGTTGGACGTGAATTGTCCCAAGAGGACATAGACATGACAGATTTACTGTGAAACTGCTGCTTTTTGGGTTTTTTCCAAGGCAGCATATTATTTTAAAAAAAAGCCTTTTAGAATTTTTAAATTCACAATAATGCCAGTCTCGTGAGACCTTCTATTCCAGACAAGTTTAAAGATTCATACAAGCCAATCTTTGCCCAATGATTAGACATGCATTAGAAATGCAAATTACCTTTACTATCCTAATTGATCCAGTCTTACCTTAACCAATATTCTGATTTAGTTTGCTAGCTGTAAAATAAATCCAGTGTAATTATTCTTAAACCCTGCCTGAATCTATTTTAATTAAAACCTGGCACTTTTCCACTGAAAGCTTTAAGCGGTTTTATCTTGGATAAGGTTTTAAAATGTAACACTTTACATATGTAATCTCACATAAAAGTAAATCTGTTAAAATTAGAACAATAATTTATCTGGCTTAGCTTTAGGGTTTTCATTTCCACTGATCTATTTTGCATTCTGGTTCCTTGCTTGTAAACAAAATATATCAAGGGAAGCCACTCCAAGTCACAAAGCAGGAGTCATCAGAAAAGAAAGGAGAGAAATTAATTCCACTTTGCTCATCAACAATTGATGTCGGGAGGGTAATGAGCTGATTAGGGCTGGGCTGTATGGAGCACTTTGCAATGTGCTGTGGTTTGGACAAAGCGCATCTACTATGTGTAAAGGTAAAGACATCTTCTGGCCAGTTGTTTTGGCCTGGTCAGCTGCCAGCAGACCTAGCTGCAGAGTCAGATGAGGAAGAGGTGGAGGGAGAGCTTCGGCCAACTTCGGAACCTTTGAGAGGCACCGATAAGAAAACAGCATCAGAGGCAGAGGCAGAACTGGGGCCTTCCATCCTCCCCCAGTGGAGAGGCAGCTGTCTTCAGGTCCTGAGCTGAGTGAGGTGGAGGAACAGATGGGGCCCATCCCAGATGCACATATGTGCAGAGAGGAGAGGAGAACAATGGAAATCAATAAGCCGGCTCTCAGGGAGAGGCAGAAGCAGACGATAGCCAGCCCCTCCATGGCTGGGAAATAAATAGAAGAGATTTGGGAGTGGTCGGTTGTTGCAGACAACCGTTCGTTTCTAGTATACGGCAAGCAATTCGGATTTTTTAGCTAAACCCAGATTTGTTGGGACTAATTACTTTTGAGTTTTTTGTTTATCCACATGAATAAAAGACTGTTACTTCCCAGTTACGAAAAGGGGTTTGTTTTACTCGTGAGTAAATGTCTTATCACTACTTGTGACGGTTGGGTGTGAACACCAGTCATGTCCAACTCTAAGGGGGGGGGGGGTTGCTCATCTCTGTTTCTCAGCCGAGGGAACCAGTATTGTCCAAAGTCACTTCCTTGGTCATGTGGCCAGAATGACTATATATCAAGGTGTACGGAAACTGTTACCTTCCCACCAAAGTAGTGCCTATTTATCTATTCGCATTTGCATGGTTTTGAACTGCTAGGTGGGCAGAAGCTGGAACAAAGAACAGGAGCTCACTCCGTTGTGCCGTGCTTGGATCTCGAACACCCAGCTGTCGGGTTTCCAGCTGACGAGCTCAGCATCTTTAACCGCTGAGCCATCATCCCCTTCCCCTTCCACTATATGTGTAAAAATAATCAAATTCTCCAGAAGGCTGTGTGTGTAGGACTCAGCTGGACTAACTCACCAAACCACACATAAACTGAATCCTGGCTGTTGCTCCCAATCCTATCTTTTATGGTCCCATGCTTTCCTTTTCCCAGCTGTATTGTTTTCTGCGATTTGTGTACTGCTTTTAACTTTTCAAACATCATGCCGCTATAACGCTTGCTTCTCATGTTACCTTTTATCGTGAGCCCCATTTTAAATTCTACATCAAAAAAATGGCATTTCGCAACTATAGGTAGCCCTCGATTTATGACCACGCTTGAGCCCAAAGCTTCTGTTGTAAAGCGAGACTGTTGTTAAGTGAATTTTACCCCATTCTGCAACCTTGTTCTTTTCAGGGAGTGCCCTCTCAGCTGAAGTCCAGATTCAATTATAAGTGAGCTTCAGTTCTCTGATTCCCAGATATTATTGTGAATACACCATAATTAATATCTCTTTTGCAAAATGCTTCAACACCACCATTTTCCATGTTTCCTATCACTGTCTGAATCCACCAACTAAGACTGAAGCTAGGAAGTTCCAAGGAAAAGTGGTGATTTATTTTCCCACCCTTCTAATGGTTGTGTGGCTGTGAATTAGACTGGTTTTGAAAAGAAACTTCATAAATGGAGCCTGGATAGCTCAACAGACTAAAAGCCTGTTATTAACATTCAGCTGCCTACAATTATTGCATGTTCGAATCTCCCCAGGCTCAAGGTTGACTCAGCCTTCCATCCTTTCTAAGGTAGGTAAATTGAGGACCCAGATTGTGGGGGCAATAAGCTGACTTTGTATAAAATATACAAAAGTATGAAGGCTATTGCTTAACGCATTGTAAGCCATCCCGAGTCTCCGGAGAAGGGAGGCATATAAATCTAATTATTTTTTTAAAAAAAATTTCTGCATATAAAAAAAACCATAGACATGTTATTCCAAAGGTGCTTTTTCAAGAGGCAATTGGATGCTCTGGTTTTTCTTTGAAGATGTTTCGCTTCTCATCCAAGAAGCTTCTTCAGCTCTGACTGGATGGTGGGGAATGGAAAGATTTACACTCTTGCAGAGAGTTGGTCATTTGCATTCTTTCAACAGTTCCAGGAATGTTCCACCTACCCATTTTCACCACTCAGATGACTCTGAGGACACAGAGCCTTAACGACCCGCTAAAAGAATGCAAACAACAACAAGAAAGTCTCCTCCTAAAAAAGTACCTTTGGGACAACCATGACCTGGATGACTAAGAATCTCTACGGACTTTTAGCTATACAATTTGAGATGAACACCCTTTGAATGGTGGGGAATTAGGAATGGATTTCCAGAGGAAAAATTGCAGACTACAGGAATAATTAGAACTACTCAGGTGATCCTGAGGACACAGATAAACTTCCAACTGCTTCAATGTCCCTCTAAAAGAATGCAAATGACCAGCTGTCTGCAAGGAATATAAATTCTTCCATTCCCCACCATCCAGTCAGAGCTGAAGAAGCTTCTTGATTGAGAAGCAAAACGTCTTCAAAGAAAAACCAGAAAGTCCAGTTGCCTCTTGAAAAAGCACTTTTGGGACAGCCATGATCTGCATGACAGAAAATCTCCATAGACAGACATGTTAGGTTTTTAATTATTCTTTTTTTAATTAGGGAGTGAGGTTTTCTAATGCTTATTTATTTTCTTATAGGCATATTGATGATATGCTAAGAATGGTAATCAATGAGCTTATTTATTCATTTGGTAAGTTTATGATTAGGCGGGCTAACATTTTTACTTTCTTATTTGTATGTTTAATCATATTTTGAAGAGAAAAATCTATGAAAAAGATTCACAGGAAGGGAAAATAAAATTTTATTTCTTTTCTATATTATGCCAATCCATCTTTTGGTGGTGGGGAAGAGACACCCAGAAGGTTTTCAACGGATAGCCCTCCAAATCAGAAGCAGATCATGATGTTCTAGATACTGCCCTGCTCCAAAACAGAACTAAAGCACCACAAAATGTTTCTTGTTCAGAGATTTACCGTATTTTAAGACACACCAGAGTATAAGACCAAGATTTTGAAGAGGAAAACAAGAAAAAAAATAGTTTTTGGCCTCCGTGTGTCTGGTTTTTGCCCTCCCCAGCCCCCAGGAGCACTCTGGAGGCCTCCTAAACTCTCTGCACATCCTGTTTTTGTGAAAAATGAGTCTGTTTTTGCAAAAAAATGACCTATTTGGAGGGAAAATGGGACACACAGGGTGGGATTTTGGGAGACCAAAAATGGCTGTTTTCGGTATATAAGACGCATGAACATTTCCACCCTTTTTGGGGGGAAAAAGTGCATCTTATACTCTGAAAAGTACGGTAACATCCAAAAACCTGCAGGTCCATCTCCAGAACAGCTGGATTATGTGCTGGAAAAGATGCAACACACTCTTTAGGATTTTTTTTTGTTGTTGTTCTTTAAATTCTATAATTTTGTACATGCCACCTAAAATCTCTTGTTCCAAAATTTTGTACATGCCACTTAAAATGCATATTTGATAGTTGAGGAAGATATTGACTTTGAAATCCAAACACAAACACGGAGAGTGTGTGAGAGAGACATATCCAGAGGTAACTAAACATTTACCTGGGGTGGAAGAAGTGGTAGTCGGATGTAGGCAAGTAACATACTCAAATCATTACATCTCCTTTGAAGGTCATATTTGACCCACTTCATTAAGGCATGGAAAATAGTTTCTTCATCAGGAACATTCACATCATCACTGGCAAGAAGTTTGTGCAGTTCCTCTGCTGGCAGCAGCAAAAATTCTTGATTTCTAATCACCTCCATGATGTTCTCCTATGCAAAAAAACAAAACAAAACAACAACACCAAAACAAATCATTTAGGCTGTTTTCCAGTGTAAAAAGTAAACTGTCAGTCAAATGAGCAAATCTAAAACAAATATACCGTATACTAGCTGGACGCCCGTGCTTCACTATGAAACTATGTGATTGGGTGTGATAAATTGACACTTAAAGCCTGAAACTTAATGTAGAATGTGTAACTCCATAGCATCAGGGTGTGTTAATATAAGGCAACTGACAGTTGGAACAGAGGGGGAGGGGGAGTAGAATGTCCCGGCCCACAGGCTGGATGAGTCACATGCTGGCCACACCCATGCCCTGTTTAGCAAAGGGGTAGCATCAGAGCATGTTAATATAAGGCAACTGGCAGTTGGGACAGAGTTCCTTTCAGGTGGGGAGGGGGAGTAGAATGTTTAACTCCTTAGCATTACAGCATATGAATATAATACTGTATATGAAATACTAATGATCTGATGGTCATTTCGAAAAACCCTTTCTTAGTGAGCACCTAGGAGCCAAGAGGAACATATGTGCCAAATTTCAAGTTTGTAGGCTTTACCGTTCTGGAGATTTCATGATGAGCGAGTGGTATTTGGCTTTTATATATATAGATTGCTCTACACAGAAGCCTGTAAAATCCATCCATTCCCAAGAGAGAGAAGAATGGCATAAAAGTCTTCTTAAGTGTCTGCCTGAATGTATGAGAGTTTGAGTAGAGGACATATCACTGTCTCACCTGCTCTGTCTCTCATCTTTTTGATGTAAATTTAAGGGTGAGCTCTTCTTGTGTTCAATTGCAAGCATTACAATTCTCAACCTCATCTGGAACTCAATTCTGTAATAGTTCCAGATCAGAGGAGATACATTCCTGTTCAAGTCAAATCTTCTTAAGGCAACCCAACTGAATGTATGAAGAACAAAGGTGAGGTCTTCTTCTCTATTCACTTGGAAAACTGTCTGCATCCAGACAGTGAACTGTAGATGGCTATTGTTGATGTCTAAAGTTATGCAATCCATACTTCTTCTAAGACCATTGCAATTTGAAATGTAGCAGTGGCATCAGGATCACACACCCCAAATTCAGTCTGACCTAAGCGTAGTACATAAAATTATCTGCTACAATGTCCTACCTGTCAATGACTACTTCGGCTTCAGCCACAACAATACACGAGCACACAATAGATACAAACTTAAGGTAAACCACTCCAAACTTGATTGCAGAAAATACAACTTCAGCAACAGAGTGGTCAATGCCTGGAATGCACTACCTGACTCTGTGGTTTCTTCTCCAAACCCCCATAACTTTAACCTTAGACTGTCTACTGTTGACCTCACCCCATTCCTAAGAGATCTATAAGGGGCGTGCATAAGAACACCAACCATAAGTCCCTGTCCTAATGTCCCATTTTTTTGGCATCCATCTCATGTATTCATAATCATGTTTATACTTATATCTGTTGTCTAATACATGCTTGACAAAACAAACAAACAAACAAACAAACAAATATTTATCATGGTAGAAACAGAATGCTGGAATTAACCCTCTTTAGAATTAGGGGACTATAGTTTATAGATTACTCCAGCTATTGTAGAATTTTTATTACAGTCATAGACCAGAGACCAGAACAAATGAGAAAAAAAAAAACACTCAATAAATGTACCATTAAAAATTCTAGAATAAAATAATAAATAACAGATAAAATCGATGATAAAATCCAGTCTGTCAATTATACATGGTCTAACTATACTAAAATCGTAATCCATAAACTGTGAGGCCTGTAGTCAGTTCATTACGAAAAGGGAAAGGAATAAGCAGTGCAAAGGGTTTGCCACATTTGTTGTATAAAATAGTTATGGTGGGTTTGACACGTGTCTCCAACGAATCCCCAGTGATGCTGCACAAAATCCAGCCACCTGCACTGTAATTTCGGACTGTTCGTCCTTAAGCAGCCACTGGAGATAAGCAGTGTGGGAAAGGCCAGGATACCTAGCTGTTGTGGCCCATCAGCAGCCTCTGCAGCTAGTAGCTGATTCAGACAGCGAGGAGGCTGATGTGGTGCTGCGCCAGCAGCCTGGGCAGCTAGCACTCAAGTCGGACAATGAGGAGGCTGGAGAAGATGTGGTGCTAGAGGTGGGGATTCAGCCAGGGCCTTCAGAACCTTCAGAAGCTCCCTTAAGTGAAGAGGACGAAGAGGAGGAGCCTCTTCTCGATGCACGGGCGCGCAGAGCTGCCAAAAGGCAGGAGTGGCTTCTCAGGAGGAGGTCTCCTTGAGAGTAAGACTTAGGGCTAATTGGCCACTCCCTTAGCCTATTTAAGGAGGAATGCCGACTGAAGCAATTTGCAGGGAACAACTTAGTTCACATACCTTTGTGTCTTGTCTTGCTTATCTTATCAGCTTTCTGCAAATTGCTTCTGGGCATTCTGCCAACCATAGTAAGCTTTCAGTTATTATTCTTTGAATTCTTGGCGGCTGTTAATGCAATTACTTAACAGCCGTTGTTGTAAAAGACTCGTTTATTCAGTAAACTAAGGTTTGAACGGACTTTGTGTGTGCTGCGTTCTTTGGGGTCCGTAGCTGGGACAGAACACTAGCAGTTATTGGAAAGATGTGGATTCCTCCCCCACCCCACCAAATCGTTCTGTAAAAGGAACATCACAGGAGTATGTGACCCATAGTCTCCATCTCTCCTGAGCCATCCAGCTATTGTAATGATGTAATGTTTGACTTTTTCTTAGGCCAAGAGGTTGAAGAAATGGGTATAATAAAAATGCAGTTTTTGTTTGGCTCTCTTTTGGAAAATTCTGTTTCAAAACATCCCATGAAATGTTGCTGTGCATCAACTCTAAAGTTTAAACTTTTGAGAGTTTATGACGTGAGATTAGAGATTACCAACACATGAAAATCTCCTTCGAGTTGGGATTGATCCTGGAACTTCAGACATATTTCTAGGGACTACTTGAAGAAAAGAAAGAAAAAAAAAAACAGTTTAGAAGATATCCTCTTTTTCATTAATTCTTTTTATTTGCCCTCCAATCTGGGTATAGCTTTTCAGGGCTATTCTATAAAGCTATATCAAAGTCAACAAGCCAGGGTAAATAATTTTATGGAATTTTCTACCAATCCGAAAGGGAGAATAGCCCCTGCTCAGCTTGAAAATGAACATTAAACTACTGTATTATTTAAAATGTCAATTAAAATAGACAGAGGCTGACTCAGCACTGAGGGGCTGGATAAGGTCATTTTTGTATATGATTAAAAAAAGAAAACCTTTTTGTGCATATATTACGGTGTGTGCCTTTTATTATGCAATTCTGAGTTAGATGAAGCAGTGATGACTCCTTGTCACTATGCTGTTAAGCACATATACTGTGACAGAATTATAGGCAGAATAATACATTTTTAAAAATATTTAAATGAGATGTGTAGGATTTGTTCGTTTGCTTGTTCCAAATAGCCAACTTGGTAGGAAATAAAGGTAAAGGTTCCCCTCAGACATATGTGCTAGTCGTTCCTGTCTCTAGGGGATGGTGCTCATCTCCGTTTCAAAGCCAAAGAGCCAGCGCTGTCCGAAGACGTCTCCGTGGTCATGTGGCCGGCATGACTCAATGCCAAAGGGGCACGGAATGCTGTTACCTTCCCACCAAAGGTGGTCCCTATTTTTCTACTTGCATTTTTTACGTGCTTTTGAACTGTTAGGTTGGCAGAAGCTGGGACAAGTCACGGGAGCTCACCCCGTTACATGGACTAGGGATTCAAACCGCTGAACTGCCAACTTTTCGATTGACAAGCTCAGCGTCTTACCACTGAACCACTGCATCCCTTAGGTAGAAAGAGTTAGAAATGGTACATAGAAAGTACCAAGACATAATTAAAGAAGATGAATTAGGATCAACATATCTGGGCTATAATCTGGGTGACCGCTATATGACAGATTTCTGTGTCTCTCTGTTGTCATCTAGTGATGAGTGGCATGGTGACCTAGTGGTGAAGACTCTTGCCTCCCACTCGGAAGGTTGAGAGTTCAATCCTAGGTAGCGGCAGATGTTTCTCTCCCAGTGTGCAAAGAAATTTTTTTTTGCTGTGAACTCTGTGTGTCATCAGGAAGGGCATCCGGCCAGTAAATGCTCAGCTCCATCCAGTCACCCCGACTCTACCCTGAATTAATAGACTACATGGTCGTAAAAAGGGTTTGTTGTCATCTAGTGGTTAACTGGAGTACTGCAGTCCAGGTTTTGTAACATTAGATGACTGGACAAGAACCATCTCTTTCTTGCCAGAATGATGGACAGTCAAAAACCACAGGCTGAAGTCTGAGAAAATATAATAGCCATGGCAAAGCAAATTAAGCTTTCTATCATTAAATGCTTGGCACAGAAAAAAAAAAAAAGAGAATTGGATTTTGTGAACTATCAGCAGATGGCCAACAGTTTTTCTGACCTAGCAGATGTACTGTTGAAATAAGCTTAAATAGATTCAAAATTATCATAATGTGTCACAGTTAGGAAGCAGGGGTGAAATGTTCCCAGTTCGGATCGGATCGCCGGATCTGGTAGCGATGGAGGCAGGTGGTTCGGAGAACCGATAGCAAAAATCCCTGCCTCCCCACATGCCCAGCTGAGCTGCACAATCATCAAAGTCTTTTTTTTTTACTTTTAAAAGCATTTTTTCTACAACCTCTTCAGCCAAAAAAATGCTTTTAAAAGTAAAAAAAAAAAGCCTCTGATGATCGTGCAGCTCAGCTGGGATCGTCAAAGGCTTTTAAAAGAAAACCCCCTTTTTTTTCTTTTAAATGCCTCTGCCGATCAGGCAACTCAGCTGGGATCGTCAGAGCCTTTTGAAAGCATTTGTTTACAATCTCTTCGCCGAAGAGGTTGTAGAAAAAATGGTTTTAAAAGTAAAAAAAAAATTGGCCACGCCCACCCAGTTATATTACCCCCCCACCAAGCCACGCCCACAGAACCGGTAGTAACCAATTTTAGATTTCACCACTG